TAATAGTACGGTAGATATTATTGGGAAGTGAAGAAAACGTAACGGACCGTGTGTTTATTGGCACAGTTTCGAAGAAAACGCGGAGTTAAGGCTAGTTTACGCACTATCAATAACTATTTACCGAAACGTAGCAGTGTTGTTTACATACGGTTTTGCCAAGTTGCGGTGATTATGGCGCCAAGTATCACTGGGAAACGTGACTAAGCGCGTGATATTATCCGTCCCTCCTGGAAGGAATAAGGTCTGCCGGGAAACAAAGCGGTCTAGGAACGTGCGACCGGTGCAAGACTACACTGCTATTAATACAGGGTGAGTCAATAGAGAATTTCCTATTTATAATAAACTCGTTAAATCATACTTATTCGATCGGGAAATATAACACGCTGCCTCGCCTCGAGAGAACGCGCGTTAAGAAACATCAAGATAATTGTGTGTTTTATATAGAAAAAGAGAGAAAGAGAAAAAACGCCTCGTTATATCTCAACGTATATTTTCCTCTACGTCTCTATTTTTATTGACTCACCTTGTATACGTATATCGAACACGGTCTCTCAATGATCGTTCCCCCCTCTCCTCTTTCATTTAAAACCATTAGACAAAATCTTCGTCCGATCGAGACGAATGGAACCTTTCGAAAAATTAAAAACTTTCAAATCAAGTTATTCGCCGAACTATCCTCCGATACTTACGATATGAAAAAAATATTGGATACTTACGAGTTGAAAAAAATAAATGGCTCGAGTTCGATGTTACACGCGCAAAAATACGTTACGAATCGTGTACTGTATCGTATAAACAGACGGCAACAGATCGCGCTTCTCAGTCTGTGGAAAGATAAGAATAGGAAAAAAACGAAAGAAAGAAAGAAAGAAAGAAAGAAAGAAAGAAGTGGAGAAAAATATATGTATATAAGAAAAAAAGAAAAAAACATCGATAAACACGTGACACAGTATTCGATGATCGTATTCGATGCTTCCACGAATTCTCGTTTTTATCGGTCGATTGTTGGCCGATGGTCACGGTCCAGAGGCGCCCTTCGAAATTTTTCGACCGCTTGGAGAGAAACGGGTCGGTGGCGCGCGCAACGGGTCAGACCAAGTTCAGACGGCTTAGATGCTGCGGTGACGCAGCTGCGATACCAATGGTCGAGGAAATTGCACGGGTTAAAGGGCGACTAGGAGGCTAGGAGATTCGATCGCAGAGCGTCGATGCGCGTCTTGGGCCGCGCGCGCGTACATGCGTGCGTGCGTGCGTGTGCACCAACACGGACGGCCGGGTGCATGCCTGCCGGTGTGATTGACATCGGTAAGTATGCCATGGCCGACCGCTCGCAACGCGCTGGTACGAACGACTGCAGCGCTGCCCACACCGCCGCGTTACGAATACATCGTACGTAAGCCGTGCCTCTAACAGCGCCATCCGTCTCTAGCCTCGGATCGGAGAGAAAAACTTCTTGCTACGAGAAAATTTCCGTCCCCGCTTGAACCTGATTTTTCGAAACTTCGGCCTCGATGGACTTGGATCGATGAACGGATCTCATTTATTTCCATTTATTCCCCCCCTCTCCCTCCTCGAGAGCATGAATCGAGCATTGGGAAGGGGGGAGGAGGGACTGGTCTCTCGCAATCGATAAAGGGGTATAACAGGTGGTACCGGGATTGTGTGCGATGGGCGTGTTGTTGTTTGTTTTGGGGATTATGCGGAGGAAGAGCATGGGTTGGGAAATGATAGTTTCTCCTCAGGGGAGGGGGAGGGGGAATGGTCGTTTCGAGCTCACTTTTGACGGGAGGAGGGAAATGGAAATATATATTTGAATTATTTCTTACGTAGTTGATCTATTATAGATCCTGTATCGAACCGAAGAAATTTATCCCGATTCATATATATATATATATATCTCGCCGTGAAAAAGGCCGTACTTCACGGAACAACATTCGATACGTGGACGGTAGTGAAGCGAAGCCATTCACTTCTTGTAAAGTCTATTGCAATATCGTAAGAAAATTTAAATTCCTTTACGTTCGTCGTGATCCGTAAGCCGGTTTACCTAGCCGACATTCCTACGCACAAAGTTACTACACCGTGGTTAAATGTAAAAGTTCATCATTCACGCGGCGCGTTGCGTAACCACGGCCGGTGTGTGTAACCAGCTCCTCCGTTGTCGATTCGCAGATAACGCGAATCCGCCCTTTGATCGAAGAGAGAAAAGAGAAAAAAAAAAAAAAAAAAAGGAGAGAAAGAAAAAGATTTTCGCCTTTTCGTAATTTTTTTTTTTCGACGGCAAACGGCGCATCGTTTTACGACCGTAGCCGTAATCTCTCTCGAAATCGAGATCGAAGTGCACGGTGAAACGCGGACAGCGATAACGTGACACGCGTGACGTAATGTAACCCTGTTCCACGAAGGACGCGGTTTTCACCAGAGTTCGATCTTCCTGTAAGATGGTGTCGTTTTCGAGGCGGGCCGAAAAACCGGTATGCCGAAACGTGTGCGAGGACGGGCGAGGAGGCGAGGAGGCGAGGAGGGGATGGCGGGAGG